TTCTTCTTCTTCAGTTGTTGAAGGAGATAAACGAACATGATCAGTGATAATGCTATCCAAATCCACGCCATTTTTTCAGTGTGAATTTTTCGAGCTTGATTTTGTTTTTCTCCTTTTCAAAATGCTGAATTTAAAGGAAGAAGATGAGTTAGTTCTCCACCATTATTAATGCTGCTGCCAGAAAAACGTACTTTGTTAGGCATGACTTAAATTTTGCTCTCGTATAGGTAATTTTAACCTACTAATAATATATTGGGAAATATGCCATAACACCCTCAAATAAAAAATATTTTGAACTAAACCCAATCGACTTGAAAGATTTTTTTTTAAAACCTGAATGTTAATTTAAATTAGTGAGACCCCCATTAAAAATATGTTATCCCTATTTTACCCTTTTAATACACATCCCAACCCTAGATCTCAAACCCACAATCTCTCTTTCTTTCTCGTTATTCTTCTCCCAACCTTACTATCAACATCAAACCCACAATTCTTGTTTTTCTTTCTGTCTCAATTTCCGTATATATCTCCTCTCGATCTCTTTCTGTGTCGGCGACGGGAGGCTGACGATGGCGGCCGGAGAAGGTGCGACAGCTAGGCAAGTGCACGCAAATCGATGAACGGTGGAGAAGCGACGACGACGGGAGGCGATGGAAAAGGCAACGGCTGTGAAATTCTGATATGAGGGCGCAACCGCGGTTGTTGAGTCCTCCACCGCCGGAGCTGCTGCCACTGCCGCCAAGATTCGAGTCTACTTTGTGAAAATGTGCATAATCAGCCACAAGGTGTCATGTGTTTAATTTCTTCTTTTTTGCTTTTATTTTTTGTAATTGAGTTCGATTTCAAGTTGCAATTGAAATTGAAAGGGAAAAGAGATATGTTTTATTTATTTATTTTTCTCCAGATCTGAACATAGAGTTTCAGATTAAACATGACTATAGTCATGTTCGAATATGACTCTTTGTTGAATATGAATGTAGTCATATTCGAGTATGTTCTATCTTCTCGTTTTAAATTATATTTTTTTTTTGTGGATGTTGATTGGATTGTTTTCCTCAACAATAGGGAATCTTGATCAAATTGGTGTTTTCTCTACTTCTATGAATTTTAGATTTTCTTTCGAGTTGTAATCTCTAATAATTGGTGTTTTGTCTGAATGATCTGATAGTAACAAGGTTAGATAAATGGTGGTAATTGAGCCCTGGTGGTGGAGGAAGAGGTAATTAATCTGGTGATTTAAGTGGGGCTGGGGGTTTTGAAAGGAAAACGGGATATAATAGTACGCAAAAAATGATTAGATGACATCAAGAAATTGAAAACCCGGCTATATCAGCTAAAGAATGGATTCTGCAAATAATAATTCAAGTACTCCCAGCCCTCTTGCAAAAGATAGGCATTCAGGCAAGTTTGTTTATAATTATTTTCGATGTTTCGTTTTTTTTTTTTTTTTTTTTTTTTTTTTTTTTATTTCTGATCGTAAAAATGGCTTTTTCGATTGTGTTTTGTTTGTTTTGGTGGCGATAATATAGATATGGAATTGATGAAGGAGAGGTTTGCAAAGTTGCTTCTAGGAGAGGATATGTCAGGTGGAGCTAGGGAAAGGTGTTTCGTCGGTTTTAGCGTTGTTGAATGCAATTACGAATTTAGCATGTATTTTAATTTTTTTTTACTTTAATCTTTACAAAAAGAATTTGATCAGCATCAAGAATGTTGAAAATTATGAAGTAAATGATTTTTTTGATTTTTTTTTATGTAATAATATGTTTATGTGAATGAATGTTTAGCATCTGCATTTTTTTTTCTTTTTTCTAATTGCCTTTTGTTTTATGAATTTGAGTTTGGTTCATATAGTTTTGCTTCTTGCTGCTGCAATTTTGATGGAATTTGCCGCACAGTCTTCAAGAGGAATTAACAAGGACATCCCCGAGCATTCCGAATAACTATCTCCCATAAAAAATTAACAGTAACATGCCTATAGTCATATTCGAATATGACTATTATTGAATGTGACTGTAGTCATATTCAAATATGTTATATCTTCTCATTCAAGTTGATATGTAATAATAAGATTAAAATTGTATTTTTTATGGATGTTGATTGGATTGTTTTCAAGGAATTTTCGTTTTTTTTATATAATTTGATAAAAATAATTGTACTCTACTATATAATCGGAATTATTAAGTTGAAAATGTAAAAACGACAATATAATGAAAGAATATGACTACAGTTGATATCGTCACATATAGTCATATTCAACTATAGTCATATTCGGCGTGATAAAATTATCGGGGAAAAAATCAATTTTTCGTTTAAAAAGAATTTATAAAAAATATTAAAAAAAATAAAAAAAAAAAAATATATATATATATATATATATATATATATATATATATACACACACACGGAGCTGGGATATTGAGTGGGGAAATATCCCTATTATATTGGCATTATTAAGGAAGGTGGGAGGAATTATTGGGTAGGAGATTTTATAATTTCTGAAGGGTGGTATTGGAATTAATTTTTTAGGAGGTTATCACAAAGAAAGATTTAAGGGTCGGACATATCACCATTTATTATTCATCCAAGAGGTTTATTGCTAAAGGCCCCATAATATATATAGTTTGGTCCACAATTTTCAGTTTACTCAAAAGTCGGTAAGTTGGGTAGTATCGGCCAATCGCTTTTGCACACCTAAAGTACAGCTCATGTAACACTTATCCCTTAAAGTACTATTTGTAACACTTACCCCATGAACATCAATTATTTTATATTTTAAAATTTGAAAAATAATAAACATAACAATTTAATAATTAACGGATCATAAAAAATTGAAAAGTAACTAAAATTAAATTATTGAAAAAAATTAAAAAGTAATATATATTGTGTAATAATGAATACAAATATATTTAAAAAAAATTAATGAACTAAAATAAATTTAAATACTTAAGAAACTATTAGTAATGTATTTATTTCTTAAAATTTATCGATATGAATATATTCGATTAATTGATCCAGTAACAATTAGATGTTATTTATTGAATAAGTACTCAACGCAAGATAATATTTTTAAATTTTAAAATATGGTATGTTTCAAGTTTCAACATATATTTTTAGTTGTATAATTTAATTACACTTTTGGTTATTCCTTTCAATAAAATATTTTTTTAAGGTATTAAAATTTAAAATATAAATTAAATTGTACTTGAGAGGTAAGTATTACAAATAATATTTTAGGGGGTAAGTGTTACAAATGGTATAGTTTAAGGGTGCAAACTATATTTCATCCAAACTTTAAAAAACATCTTATTTTTAGGACTTACTTTTTACAGTTCAAAAATTGCTATTTGTAGTTCAAACTTAATGCTATTTGTATCTGACGCCCATACCGGGCACCCAAACGAATGCCCAAACCGGGCGCGCATTCCTGAACCGGACGCCCAAACTGGGCGTTCACCAGCATTTTCCATGCCCAAATCGGGCGTGAAAAATGCTGGTGAACGCCCGATTTGGGCTTCCATCGAGCTCAATTTTGGAAAAAAAACAGCCCTACAAATCGATTTGTAGGGTTGTTTAACATGAAATTACAACCGAAATTTCCTACCCAATCCAATAAAAACGTTTAGTAGTTGAAAATACCTCAAAATTTCGATGAATTTGACTTGTTTTTGCTTGAATTCGAATTTTTTGAATATATATATTTTTTAAAATGTTTCGGTTGGGAGGAGTGGGTGGGAGAGAGTTTGTAGTGAGAGAAATGTTTTTTGGGTATGAACTGTAAATAGCAAAGTTCTAGCCCAAAAAGCATTTCCCTATTTTTATTTCAAAAAAAAAACAGATAAATAAATGTACCATATTATTAGTTGACACGAAAGTTGTGTTTTGAAATACCATTGTTGTCCCCGCGAGTAGAATTGGCCGATAATTATCCGACACAACCCATGTCCAGTCCTAAAAATGTGAGTTGTCATGAAAGTTGTATTCCAAAATACCCTCGTCTTCCCAACGAGAGGTCGCGTATTAGTTATTAATCACGCGGGAATAGCATATGTGTACTACTCACGCCGGATTTTTCCACAATTATGCATCACTACTTCGAATTCAAATTTGAAATTATAACCAGTGGCGGATCCAGGATTTTTGCCAAGGGGGTGCTAAATTGTTGAATAAAAAATTTAAATATCACTTTATAAAAATAGTGGACCAAAAATTTACAATTTAAAAAGTTTAGGTGAATTGTGTAAATATTTAAAGAGAAAATGGACCAAAAATTTACAATTTAAAAATTTTAGGTGAATTGTGTAAATATTTAAAGAGAAAAAGGGTGAAAAATGTAAAGATTTGAAAAAAATCAACTTTTTAGAGGCTGGGGGTTCGAACCCGGGACCAATTAACAAAAGAAGGAACATCTTTACCAACTCAACCAAATGCTTTTCTTGTCAACTTATGTATAACGGTATTATTTGTTTAAAATCAAGGGTGTGCAACTGCACACCCTAGACCATAGCTAGATCCGCCACTGATTATAACCACTCTGTCTAAGGGTATTGCAGACGCATCTTATTTATCGGTTGCACCGTCACCATAAACGTGTGTAAAAATGAGTGCAAACACCGATATAGCGGTTGGGACTTTGTGCCACTGCCGCCGCCGGACCACCGGAACCTCATCCTACGCCGGCCGGCCCGGCCCTTATGCAACCACTAATAAAGTATGGTGGCAAGAAATGCTGTCCATGCAAGTGCATGGTAAGAAAGAAACCCAAAATTAATCTTGGCCGTCCAATCACTCCTGAATTTGCATCCAAGGTTTAGAATATATATAATGCTATATTATATAACAAAATAATTCAAACTTTTATATATTGCTTACAATGTATGGTCAATGTTATTGTTAGAATTGCATTGTAAAAGTTTGTATTTGTACTTTTTTTACTGAATTAATGAAGTTATAAAGTTAATTTTTATATTAATACAATTAATAAATAAATGTACAAATACAGATTCTCATAAATGACTGAAAGTATAATAAACATTTAGTAAAACGTATTGTATTTCATATATAATAGCGAGAATTTTAGTCTATTATCGTAACAATTCTGCCACCTTATATACATGGTGGTTATTTTATTCAGATACTCAAGGACCTCGTGTAAAAACTTGAAAATATTCCACATATGAATTATACGTAAATTATTTCACGCAATCAATCGGTACTTCGGAATCGCCATAATATGTTCAGCCCGAGAAGTCACTATACCAAAATGCTCCGACATATCAAGATCACTCGGCAACATTCCGTTCGGAAGCTCCCAATCGAAGCAATGCACCAACTGCGCCAAAACCAACTTAACCAATACAAGCCCTAGTTGCAGGGCGGGGCAGCTCCTCCTGCCCGAACCAAACGGTAAGAGTTGAAAATCGCGGCCCCTCAAGTCTATATCGCTGCCCGAAAACCTCTCGGGCGAGAAGGTCTCCGGGTGGGCCCACACGCTAGGATCTCTACCTATGGCCCACACGTTCACTATGGCCCGCGATTTTTTCGGTATGTGGTATCCGTCGATAGTACAATCTTCCATAGACTCATGGGGGATTAATAAGGGAGCCACTGGATGGAGGCGTAGTGTTTCCTTCACAACCAAGTCTAGGTACTCGAGATTGTCGAGATGTGACTCTTCGACCGTGCGGTCAATCCCCACCGTCGATTCTAGTTCGTTTTGGAGTTTCTTCATTACTCGTGGATGCCTTATGAGTTCCGATATTGCCCATTCCACTGCGGTTGATGACGTGTCCATTCCTGCTATAAGCAAATCCTGCACAATTCGGATTATATTCATTATAATTATAATTATAATTATATATAATAATAAATATAAATATTACTTGGACATAAGTATGGAAATTGGAAAGAAATTTCCGAATTCCGCAAATTTCAATCGAGTTTTTTTGAAAGTTCCGATTCCCAATTTTTCCCAACTTTTTCGGAACTGCTCTCGAATATATATTAGATTCTTATTTTAATTTCCGATATATTTACAAAATGGAAATTACGAATCCGCCATTTTCTATCCAAAAATTTTCGATTTTGGAACAAATTCTTTCATTACAATTTCCAAAATTTTGCTTTTCGACTTTTTCATTTTCTTTTTCTACAATCCGACCCGTCCAATACAACACCAAATTCGATAAAAATGAAAATAAAATACAATGTTACCAGTAGCACCGCCTTGACATGGCGGCGATCGAATTCGAATCCAGCTTCACCGGAATCCATAATCGCCATCATAGTATCAACAAAGTCCTTAGTCTCCTCTTTCTCCGGCTTCTCCTGCAAATGTTCATCGATAATTTGCTCCAAAAATCCATCGAAAATGTTGCTCAATTCCTTCATCCGACGATTCATCCCCTGCAAATCAAGCACACCGATATACGGAAAATAATCGGCCAAATTGAATTTCGCACTAATCTCCATTGCCTCCATGAACACATCTTTAAACCCTTTGTCGTCAAAATCCTTATCTGCGTATTTCCTCCCAAATATCATCAGGCAATTCATATCGCCATTGACGCCCGAAACCCTAGCGCTGAGATCCACAATTTCCCCCAATTCCGCCGCCTGTTTCAGCGAATCCACCAGCAGGCAGAGCTCCGCCGCTCTCAAAGCCTGAAATTGACTGATTCTGAGACTACTCAGCAGCTCCAGCGTACAGAGCTTCCGCATATCCCGCCAGTACGGGCCGTACGGCCCGAAAACGATGTTCTTCTGCTGGTAGCTCATGTACTCCGCGGCGGCGCTCTTCGGCCTGCTGGCGAATACGAGGTCGTGTGTCTTCAGGACCAGCTCCGCCGCGGCGGGGGATGAAACGACGACGGCGGGAACGAAACCTAACCGGAGTCCCATAATCGGGCCGTGCTTTCGGGCCAGACGGTGTAGATTCTGGTGGGGATTTTTCCCGAGCAAATGTAAATGGCCCAAAATCGGAATCCCGATCGGCCCCGGAGGAATATTCTGATTCTTCTTCTTCAGTTGTTGAAGGAGATAAACGAACATAATCATTGATAATACTATCCAAATCCACGCCATTTTTTCAGTGAATTTTTCGAGCTTGATTTTGTTTTTGCCCTTTTTGAAATGCTGAATTTAAAGGAAGAAGATAAGTTGAACATGGGTTAGTTCTCCATCATTTATTCCTGCTGCCAGAAATCGTTATTAATGTGGCATGCCTTCAATTTTGTTGTCAGCTAGTACCTGTTACCGGCCAACCGACTTTTTTATAATAAAAAATTTATGTTTATTGTAATTATTCTTTTTTTTTTTTTAACGTTGAAATGATATATAAAAAAAGTCGAAACTCAAAAACTCGAAACACAAATGATAATACCTTCAACCAATCCGTTGTTTATTCGATAAAGTCGATTGCCAACCATCATCAGACCCATAATGGTTGGTCCGGTAATGATTTTCAATATTTAGCAAAATTGAGTGGTCGGATCGAGTTGGTAATTGGCCGATAATTACCTGACTCGACCCATGCCCAGCCCTGAGTATGAGTTGACACGAAAATTGTATTCCGAAATACACTCGTCGTCCCATCGAGAGGTCGCGTATTACTCAAGCGGGAATAGCATACGTGTACTACTCACGCCGGGTTTTTCAACAAATATGCATCGCTGCTTCGAATTCAAATTTGGAATTATAACCACTCTCTGTCTAATGGCGTTGCAAACGCATCGTATTTCTCCCTCTAGAAGTTTAGTTTACGACTTGACGTATACGAGAGCGATGAGGAAATGTACTAACCGAAAGGCACCATAGTCGAGCTGGAATTCGGAGTTTCGATTTTTAATCAAGCGCATGCAAGACAATTAGTGCAAACACAATTGCATTATTATTACACAGTACTAATTGTGCGTTATGGATCAATTAAAATAGAATTACCACTTGTGCCCCCCATATTTTAAATAAATAATGCTAATAACTAGTGTATAAACTAGGGCTTTCTTGAACACTTCGTAAACAATTCTTACTCTCAAACAATATATTACACTATTTAGTATTTACATAATCATAAACCTCAAACATAAATAACAAATATATATATAATAGCAAAAATAACATTGTACATAATTGGACAAAAAAAATAAATTTATGATACAAATACAATCACCTAATCTACACTTTTTCTTCAATCATCGTCTTCATGCGCTACAAGATCCAACGCGCTCGATACAAAATGATTAAACCACTCGCGCGGGCCCGCAAAAGGCATAAAACCGCACATCAAAGGGAGAAGTAGCAAAGCGGAATAAAACAACGATCTCCTCATCCAATAAGGAAACACCGTTTTATTGTGTTCCGCTCTTTGAGCAACAACTATAGGCCCGTTGAGAATGAAAAAAAGAGTCGAATAAAAAGTATTGGAGAGGAAATGCAACAAGCACAGCGCCTCCCAATAAACGAGCCAATGATTTCCGCTCCCGCCCAAAGTGTCGATGCAGAACTTTCCGGCGTAACCGCACGCGACCCCCAAGAGCAATAGTATGAAAGTGATGGGCATCGTTTGATTCGAAGTGGCGGATCTTTGGATGAGAAGAAAGGCGATTGCACCGATCATTATAGCGCCAAATAGCATTCGGCTAAAGACTTGGATTTGGCATTTTAATAATTGGATTCCCGAGTTGAATGTCGACATTGATTTAGGCATCCACCAAGACTTCGATTCCTAGAATAATAAAATAAAATAAAATGAAGTCGTATTAGTGATTTAACGATGGCGTAATGTAGGTATGTCGGTGAAATAGACACGGGATTAAATGGAGTAGTAACGTAGGGTCCAAATAGCATCCGATTATTTGTAAGAAAAATAAAAAAATATTTATCCCCCTTTCGAAAAAATTTATACTCTTCCGACAAAATTAGACTACTTCAACATACCGCATAAGTAAGGAGAACAACGTACCGTATAAGGAGAACAAGATTCACTAGCTTCAATAATTCTTCGGTGAGAATAAACGTAAGTCCCGTAACCGATCGAAAACAGCATAATAATCAAACCAGCAACAAGAAAATCCAAGCATTTCCGAAGCATCTCCACTTGTCGGTTATCTTGTAACTGAGTTTTGAATTTCTCGGCTTTAAAAGATGCCTTGGAAAATCCCATCGACAATTTCCACCTGTCCAACAAATTCGCATCGCAATTTAATTCCAATTGTCTCTCCTTAAGCTGCATCTTCTTCATAATAAGTCCGATCTCAAACGCCTTTAAATCGTTCGAACGAGTTTGCTCGACAACTGATTTTTCTATAGTGCTCAGCATGGAATTAGACGAGCCCGTTCTTCTAATAGAAGCAAAATTCGGCTCTATGTTTTGGTCATTGCGCAAGACGAGCTGTTGACTCATCAAATTCATCGGCAAATTCTCGTGAATTGATACGAAGTTGTCCCCGTCGCTTCTAGAATCTTCTACTCCGTCGCTGCAAGTGCTTCTGGAATCTTCTACTGAGCAAGAACACTTTCGGAATCGAGCTTTTCGAGTATGTTCTTCAACGCTTTGAGATGATGAATCGTTGATTAATCTCAAGGTCATTAATGTACTCCGGAATGATTTCTCGAAGTTGGTGGCGAAATTATCGAATTTGTCACCAAAAACCTGATTTAAAATTATAACGTCAATTAAATCGTCAAATTGATCGGAATCGAAGGAAAGTACGAGAGCGCAATTTTAAGATAAGTGCTTACATTTCCTAGAGACTCTTTTACAGCCAAAATGCAGATCTGCAAATTATTTATTTTCATTAAACAGATCAGATTAGAGAAGATTAAAATTCCGTAATAATTACAGAAATTATTTAAAGATAATCGAGATATTCACAAGGAAAGTACCTCAGAAAGATAATCCGTAGATATCGTCCCCCCAGCTGCACTTTTTCGCTCCAAAACCTAAAATCGATATGCAACATATACACTTCAATAAATGGCTGCATTATAAATACAGATCAAAATTTATAGATATAGATCAACATGCAAAAAACGATTTTTTTTTTCAGTGGCTTCCAAATATTCGATTTACGGACAAATAAAGAAAGTTTATGATTTTATTTTAATTACGGTTTTAAAAAAACCCACTTCATTAACTAAACCACGCGGTATAAAATCACTCTGCAAAAAAGCCCGGTTAAGAAAGACATACTTATAGATATCTCGGCAACTAAATCACCTTCTATAGGTGGATAAAGACGCAATATCAAGCAAATCGAACATTTGAGTACAAACGTAAACTAGATTGTCACACATTTCTTCTTTGGTTTTAGCACCCAAATTAGAACCGCTATATCCAAAACATAAAGTGACCCGTTAATCATAATTTTCCATTTCAAGAAACAAAGGCACTTTATTTCGGGATTCATTTTCTCGTTTTTCTACTCTCATCGTTTGGACTTTAGAAGTTTCCAAATTCATATTTCTATAATATATGATCATCAATCCCATTAAAAGACGAAAGTTTTCAAGAACATAAAGCCATTTTTTCTCATAAAACGACGTGTCGATTCTTTACTAAAAGGTGAAAACTTTTCTTTTTATTTTTTTTTCTCGAGAAGAACAATGTGGGAATTGGATCTGAGCTAAGGAAGTTATGTGATTGCCCCTAAAGACTAAAACTTTTTTACCACAAAATCAAGAACTCACATTGAAGCAATACAAAATCTGTAAAACCACACTAAACATCAGTAGTATATCAATATAGCCAAGAATTCGACATCGTAAAAATCGAGTCTTTTACCATAAAACTAACAATGCACCAATTAAAAAATTTATCTATGAAAAAAAATATTAAATACCCAATTAATAAAATTCCCAGCTTCAACAAGAAAAAATACAATAAGAATAAAAACACAATTGAATTAAAAAAAAATAATAATAATAAAGGAAAACCTGAGCAACGACAGCGGCAATTGACATTCCCAGAGGAAGGCCGAGGGCGTCGACATCACTCGGGCCGAATTTCCGGGCCGTGGTTAAAGATCCGACCCGGATTCTTTTACTGCTTCTATAAATCTTGATTCCCTTTTGCGAAGACGAAGAGACGCAGCTACAATTGTTCGAAGAGGCTGACGACGCAGAGTCTGAGACTAATGTTTGTTTCTTCTTTTTATTCTTTCTTTTATGAATTGCCGTTTTGGGTTTTGCGCCGCCGGAGTTTGACGGGTCTGGAGGGGTTTCCTCCGGCGGATTGACGGCGGTGGAGGGGTGGTGGTGGCGGAGAGGGGCATCCATGGTAGATTTTTGGGGGAGGAAGGGTCTGTTTTGAAAATAGGTCAATTATTAGTAAAATAGTAATTATTTAAGAAGTTTATCAGATATTTCAATTAATATTTTTTTTCCATTTCTGCCCCTTGACTTTACCGAACGTTGCTAAAATTTGAATTTTGAAGGTTTATTATTATTATTAATTTTATTATCAATTATAATTTTAATATGATCACCTTATTATAAACACGTGGTTATGTGTGGACCAAGCATTCAATTTTCTTAATGCCTAAGATTTGTTTGCTACGTGTCTCTCTTGTACTAAGGGCATCTCCTTTTGGAGATGTTAAATGGTACATATCAGCTATAAGAGCATCTCCAAAGGAGAATGCTAAAAAAATGGATGCTATAAGTATTATACCTTGTGAATAATGGTTTACGTGTTCACTTTTACCCCTTCTGCTCCAATCACATTAGTTATATTATAACCTTTTATTATATTATATTACTTTTCAACTATTTCAACTTTACCACGATAAAAAATAATATTAGCTTTTGTTACTTTTTGATTATTTTAATATTATTTTAGTTTAGCAGCCATGAATAGGAACAGCTATAGATAGCAGCTGGAGGTATCAATATACATGGCCATCTAAATTTTACATCCTCCGTTGGAGATGATTTTTTTTTTTTTGATAAATGGTATAATTCCTAAATTATAACTTTTAGCAGTCCAAAAAGACCATGATTGGAGATGCCCTAAATATAGCATTATACCATTTATGCACAAAAAAAGGAGCTCCAACGGAGCAACTAAATTTTAGCAAGATAGGTAAAATCATGCCTCCAAGTGGTATATATACCATCTACTGTAGACAAAAGCTAAAGGAAAAAGAATTAAAATAATCAATAAACCATCAACAAATAAATACAAACCCCCACCTGTAAATGTTGAAGTGGTTAGATATATAGTATCTCTTAATAAAATATAATAAAATGCTAAATTTTAAATGCTATGGTTGGAATAGGTTCGTAAAAATTGTGTTGCTATAACACTATTCATTAGGTATTACAGATATAGCATCTCCAATTTTAGGTCTTAACCTTGGAGATGCTCTAAGAGATAAGTATGACAAAGCATAGATCTTTTGTGTATAAATAGATGGTTTTGACATGAGAAATGAAGTGGCCGAGCTTTGATTAGCAATAAAATTTTCTCTCTCTCTCGTTTATATTATGTTTTCGTATATTCTATAACACGTTATCAGCACGAGATTTTGCTCGATAGGGATTTGTTATTTTCGTATTCTTCTTTCTATTTTATTTTACGAAAATCCAGATCATCGATCTATTGTCAAAAAGACAAACGAGAATGATGAGCGAATACTTCGGTATTTTATACGCTATCATTTCTCAAAGGATATGATGGATTCGTGTATATTAATATATAGCTTATATATTTGTTGAATTGCTGCTGAAATTTATATTTGCAAGCTTGTGGATCCAAAGCAGTGCTATAAGCACGTGCTAAGTTTAACAGATATGTGGGCCGACTTAGAGGCCAAGTTATTAGCTCCGAGCATGATGCTCGTCGAGCAAAAGATATAATAATCTCAGTTAAAGGTCGATTTAGAGACTATGAGATTAACTCTGAGCCTGATGTTCGTGGAGTTGGAGAAATAATAATCTCCCTTTAAAGCCGATTTGGAGGCTATCGTTTTAACTTCGGGCATAGTACCCGTAGAGTTAACAGAGACCGTATAGAAGTCATATCATAACTCCGAGCCTAAAGCTCGTTGAGTCAAGACGTTGGAATTCCAGTCAAATAAATGAAATATAACTCCGAGTCTAAACTCGTTGAGACAAGAACGCTGATTTAGAGGCTAAATCGTTAATATAACTCCGAGTCTAAACTCGTTGAGACAAGAAAGCCGATTTAGAGGCTAAATCATAAATATAACTCCGAGTCTGAAGCTCGTTGAGTCAAGACGTGATAATATCCGTCAAAAGCCGATTTAAAGGCCAAATATCTGAAAATATCTCCGAGCCTGAAGCTCGTAGAGTCACTAGACGAGGTAAAACCCGTCAAGAGTCAACTTAGAGGCTATTAATCACAAGTCCAAATTTAAGGGTTTTGGGTTATTTTGTACCCACTGTATATAAATCTTTCTTGGAAGGTGTGATTCCCAAGATTGAGTTGTTTTGAATAAACCCGCATGTACATATCTCCCTTGGAGGATAAATACCCGAGGTCGAGCTAATTATGATTCGCGTACATGAAAAACATGGACAAATATGATTATTGCCTACTCGAAAGTGCAACTACACACTCAATATTCAATAATAAAATATATTTATCGAGTGTAACTTTGTGCAAGGCACAAGTTAAAACCATAGCAGGTTCCGCAGAAATAATAGATGGCTCCGGGAACGCAACAATTGTGTTGCCTAATGGTACCACTTTGCATATTGAAAATGCATTGATATCCGGTAGATCGAACAAAAATCTACTGAGTTTTAAAGATGTGAGATGCAATGAGTATCATTTAGAGACACTGGTTGAAAATACCATGGAGTGTCTATGCGTCACATTATATCTCATGAACAAAAGAATTGTTCATGAGAAGTTCGAAGCGACAACTTCTGGACTGTATTGTGTCCAAATCCGAGCTTTCGAATCCTACGCCACTATGCCATGGAAACTTATTAATCCCGATATACACTGGTTATAGCATGATCGACTGGGTCACCCACAAACGATTATGATGCGTAGGATTGCTTAACATACTAAAGGACATCCATTAAAAGATACAAAAATCTTGACGTGCAATGAAAATTTCTGTGAATCATGTTCGCAAGGAAAGCTCATTATAAAACCTTCCATTGAAAAGGTCGGTTATGAATCACCATCGTTTTTACAACGTATTCATGGTGATATTTGTGGACCAATACACCCTGCAAGTGGGCCATTTAGATATTTTATGGTTTTGGTGGACGCATCTTGTAGATGGTCTCACGTATGCTTATTATCTACGCGAAATGTTGCATTTGCGCGTTTTGCTAGCACAAATTATTAAACTCCGAGCACATTTCCCTGATTATCCCATAAAAAACATAAGAATGGATAATGTCGGAGAATTTACATTTAAAAAGTTTTGATGAGACTGGGAATAAATGTCGAGCACCCAGTAGCATACGTTCACACTCAAAATGGACTGGCGGAATCTCTGATTAAACGCGTCCAAATAATTGCTCGTACATTGCTGATGAGATCTAAACTCACTAGTGCAGCATGGGCCATGCAGTATTGCATGCATCAGCGCTGATTAAATTGCGCCCCACTTCTTATCATATGCATTCCCCAATGCAATTGGCATTAGGCTTTGAGCCCGATATTTCGCACATTCGCACATTTGGTTGCGCTGTGTAAGTGTCAATTCCTCCTCCTCAGAGGACTAAAATGGGTCCCCAGCGTCGACTTGGCATATACGTTGGGTTTGATTCACCGTTGATTATTAGGTTCTTGGAACCAATGACGGGTAATTTATTTATCGCTGAATTTGCGGATTGTCATTTTGATGAGACATTATTTATACCGATTGGTAAGGATATTCAGAATATCCGTGATAATGATAAACAAAAACCAATCGAGAATCTCACATGGTGTGAGCAACGCTTATCTCATCTCGACCCACGTACCTCTGAATGTGAAAATGAGATCCATAGAATCATTCATTTACAAAATATTGCCAATAGACTTCTTGATGCATTTAATGATTCCAGTAAAGTCACGAAGTCTTATATTCCAACTGTGAATGTGTCAGCTAGGATCGCTGTTCCTGAAGAACATGCGAAAATGAATGATGATCCCCACGACAAAAACGGGGTAGACCAATTGGATCAAAGGACGTTGTTCCTAGAAAAAAGAAAGGGGAAAATTGATGAACCCTCGAATCAAGTGGTTCCTAGTGAGAATGCTCCAAATGAATCTGTTGAGCCTGATATTGAATAAGCGGTATCAAATCCCGAGAATACCGATAATCCCACAAGTTATTTCAATGAAATATAGGATATAAATGAGATAATCATCGATAATATTTTTACATTCTCAATTTCTCAATAGATTGTCTACGATGATTATAATAATGAACAATGTTTTGTAATGTTACAGGTACATCTTGTTGATTTACCAAACAGACATGTCCACTGCTATGATAATGTTAATTATATAGTGCAGGGAAGAGTCAGATACATAAAAGGCGATCGAAGCAAGTCCTTCCCGACTTATGCATTTGAGAAATCGGTATACAGTGTTGGAATGAGAAGAGCCGATATGGAGAAAGATTGATAGCTCACCTCGGAGGTTTACACTGCTCATTTCAGGGGGAGCATTAGTGCGTTGCACTCTTTTTCCCTTTTGACTGGTTTTGTCCCGTTGGGTTTTCCAGCAATGGTTTTTAACGAGGCAGCTTATGCACGCGGCTTGGATTTGAGTTATGCACTATTTTTCCCTTTTGATCGGTTTTATCCCACTGGGTTTTTCCGACTTGAGGTTTTTAACGAGGCATATATTTTCACTCATCCACTTTGCAGCCGCTACCGATAATGTTTTGTCCAAGAGGGAGTATTATAAACACGTGGTTATGTGTGGACCAAGCATTCAATTTTCTTAATGCCTAAGATTTGTTTGCTACGTGTCTCTCTTGTACTAAGAGATAAGTCTGACAAAGCTTAGATCTTTTGTGTATAAATAGATGGTCTTGACATGAGAAATGAAGTGACCCAACTTTGATTAGCAATAAAATTTTCTCTCTCTCTCGTTTTATTATGTTTTCGTATATTCTATAACACACCTATGTATTTAAAATTTTGTAGAAATATATTAATTTTTAGGGTAAATTACAACCACCCTGAGGTATGGTCAAATTACGAAAACCCCCATCTTGTTTGGATAATTACAACCACCCCCATCAATTCCTCAAATTTAGTGGAATCTTCGAGATTATATGGAATATTATCACCTTTGTACCCGTTTTATCCCATTCGAACTCTACATTTTGAAGCAAGATGATCATAACATGTATTTTTTGGCTTGTATATATCAGATTGTGGTGTCTCGGAAACTGTATTTTTACACAAAACGAGTACAAACTAGAGCACATTCCACGGAATCTAGATGATTATGTTGAATTTGACACCGTAAGGGTGGATGTGTAAGAAAAAATCATGGTTGAGGGGGGTAAATGTAATTATCCAAACCAGAGGGGGTTTTTCATAAATTAATCATACCTCAGGGGGTGTTTGTAAATTACCCTAATTTTTATATGCATAGCAAAATAATTACAAATTTAACAAAAATATAACAACACCAATAAAATTAAAATTAACATCATTAACAAGATTAATAAAAAAAAAGTATATTGTAATACAAACGAGGTAATTCAAAAGCAAATGCAGTCGATGCTCGAATTGATAAAATACGTACATCACTAGATGTCTCGTTTACCGACATCATACACTTCTTTTTTTTCTTTAAATTATATATATATATATTACTAATATCATTTAATTTATTCATCTTAAATAAATGTAAATCTACCACTCAACTCCACCATTAAAACCATGCAAATAATTAGTATTAATCTTTGCACCATCATCATTAATATGAGGAGAAGAAGAAGGGCCATCATCTTCATCAATATTTCTAGCCAATACGATGTCGTTTTTGGCGAGATAAGCTTTCAAGATTCCGACATAATTCTGGAACCCGAGAGTAGTCATGGCCCACAAGAGGTCGTCGCCGTTGACCGTCTTCCTCTTCTCCCTCTGGCATTTCTCCGACGCCTCTCCCGTGACGAAGCTTATGAACTCCGACACGCATTCTTGGACGGTTTCCTTCGCCTCTTTGGAGATTTTGGCGTTCGCCGGAAGGGATTTCTTCATAATCCGGCTCACGTTAGCGATCGGTAGGTACATGTCCGGTTCTTTCGTGCCGTCCGAGGTTTTGATGGATGTTAGAGGGCTGTTTGGGATCAATGTATTTCTTGTCATTTTTTAGGAGGAAATAATGGAGATGTTTGTTGTTGGAAATTTGGAATATAGATGAAGTATTTAAACTAAGAAAAAATATATATAAAATAAAAATTGGAGAGGCGGTTTTGATGTTGACATGAATTTTGAAATTATTAATTTTGGTGTAAAATGAATTTTTTGGACTCATTTTGCTGGCAACTTTGGTAATTGATAACTAGCTAAATGGAGTTGAAGATGATTTTATTGATATAATAATTGTATCATTTGTACATGATATATCATGTGATTATTATTAACAATTGATATGTACATATCAATTGTAATTTCAAATATGTTGTTGGTCGGCTCAATTGTAATTGACTTTGTGGAGGGAGAAAAGAATATAAAATGAAATTCAGCCGAATGAGTAACACATTAAAAACTAAAATAATTGAACGTTTCTTTGACTAATTAATGAAACAAAGAAAAATCATTTTTTACAGATATTATAGTTCAACTGTACCAATTTATAACAATATTCTAACAAAAAGTCAACAAAATATTTAACTTGTAGCTCAACACCATGTTTACAAGTTTGCCAAATGGCACATCTTGCAGCATTTTCCTTCATACAGTATATATACTTGTTGGCTAAATTACGGCCACTTCTGAAGGAAAGTCAATTTACGAAAAAATACCTCATGTTTGGGTAATTACACGGCTACCCTTACGGTGTCAAATTTAATGGAATCCTCTAAATTTTGCTCAATTAAATACTCAGTGTGAAAGGTTTCGTCCGTTCGTCCTTGTGTGAATTCAAATTCGACCCAAAACAAACACGACGATTCGTCTAGAGATGTATTCGATGGGATAGTGTGTTCCACCATGTTACGTAGATTGTATAACAAAACAAAAATAACACTGGACTAAAAAATGGAGGCCATTAGCATTAGTGGATTGTTGAGTTAACACAGTAGACAACAATGAGTTAACACAGTAGACAAGAATAGCCCAGCTTGGTGTTCATATCTACATCATCAACAGTGCATTATCTACATAAAATTCAATACCTAATTTGCCCTTCGCATCGATGCCCGTTTGGCTTCTTCCGTGTAATCTTCATCCGAAGTATGTGCTACTCCTCCTCATCTACTTATCATCTGAAGGGATCATTACACTATCCCCCTGCATAATAATGAACAATTTAAGTAATCTTTTTTTTTTTTTTGTGTGTGTGTGTGTGTGTGTGTGTGTGTGTGTGTGAGAGAGAGAGAGAGGGTACATTTAGTCTTCTTTTTCGTGGTCAGGGGCAGGATTGAGGCCCAAACACTTGAGAAATGCTCGTTTGGCTTGTTCAATGAAGTTGCAAGGGTGATTCGGTTGTCTGAAAAACGTGATATCCTTAATTGAAGAAGACTCCTCTCCGGTTTGGTTTTCTACTTCCACTCCACTAATTTCTCCATCCACCCTCACTCTCCGGTCTTCCACCTGCCATGACAAAGGATAAATCACAACATACTAAAGCCTCGTTCCCTTTTTATTTCTTTGGTGAGATGCATAAACCATGATTAATTACTTATATAATGCGGTCTCCTTTGATGTGTTTCGGTCAATCCACTAACTTTTCGGGCCGCTCCGCAATTACTAAAACAAATTGTCCGGTTTTCGGAGAAATTAAAAAATTAAAATAGGATCAAAAATCGGAATTTTTCAGAATTATATATAATTCCAAATTCCAATCACGACATGAAAAATCAAAAGCTATTCTGTAATGGGAAAAAAATTGGATCGTAATTGGTGGTATTTGAAAATTCCCTTCCAACAACCCTAATTTAACATCCCCTATTCAAAACACCAGACTTATAGGATAATCTCTACATGATAATAATCACAAAATTGCATATCCGTTAAAAGCTTATTTCACAGTCGGGGGCATACTATTACTTAACTATATCTCAATCTATAACAAATATCAGATTTTCATAAATACGCAGTAAGGTGAAGCAGTTAGGCGACTATCACTTTACCATCAAGAAACGAATCGATGAAATTCTGAAGGAAAAAAAATGCAAGATTGAGTTCTATGAAAATTCTGAAAAATGTAGATAAAAATCGATGAATTCAACTGAATGCAGAAATGCATGAAATACGAAACGAGATGGATCGCATATGTAAAGTGAAGGAATTAGTCAACTAAACATAGAGATCGACGAAATTAGTCAGCAATCCAAACAACTGTCGAAGATGTCGTGAACTTAGTCCTAATTTCCACCAAAGGCAGAAGAACTCCAGATGTCCTGAATTTAATCCATGTTCAGCTACATTTGAATTACACGAAATTGAATCTATTACATCTTTAATTATATGTATGTATTTGTATCATTCATTTGATTCAAGCAAAAAATTGAACTCCAATGAACTTAATGAAACCCTAAACAGTTCTACAGAGCTAAAATAGAAAAAAAAAAATTAAGCTAAATCTTTCATTAGAGAGTTAATTAGTTAATTAAATCAACCTTGATTCTTCCGCGGGGGGAATTAGGTCTGATGAGATTGGGCGGAGGGGCAGCGGCGGCGGCGGTGCTATTAGACGGCGAATCGGTGGAGGAGCTGGACGAGGTGTCTGAAGCAAAGATGCTGAACCCGAAAAAGAGGATAATGATGATTAGAACCGTGATAACAAGCTGGATCCATATCAGCCATGGAACTTTGTAGCTTTCTATGATGAATTCATCCCCAAAGTCCGGCATTATTTTAATTTTTTTTTCCTGCAACTCCACTAATCTATGAAATTCACGCTTCAGCAGAGGGGAAAACAGTTGAAACTAGAGAGAGAAAGAGGAGAGAGAGAGAGAGAGAGAGAGAGAATCGGAGAAGACGAGGGTTGAGAGAGGTAGGACTAGGGATTTGAAAGTCGGAGATTAGCAGAGTCAGAGAAGGCTTTAAACTGTGAGCTGTCAATTTCCTAATTTCCAAAAAAAACATTTATTTTTTATCATAATTTTGTTGTTAGTGGGGTTTTTTTAATAATATTAATTTGATTTTTTAATTGAACTGCTATTTTTTTTTTTTTAAATCGGAATTTCAAAATTGATTGGATACACATGAATATGAAGACTCATTAGATACACATTGCAAATTATGTAATTGTTTTTACACATAATTATTGTATTTTACTATAATAAATAAATCACAACTGAGCTTGAATTCGAATTTTTATGTCGACGCTCGCGTACATTTAAATCACCTATTTTTCTTTTTGCTATACAAAAATTCAAATGGTATTCAAACAACAAAGCAATAAAAGGAAACTGGAGAATAACAATTAGGGTCGACAATCGGGCCATGTAAACTGAGTTTTTGTTGGCTCAAGTTCACATATCGCCCGCCCTTATTACTATAGGCTCAAACTCGGCTCATATATTTTTCCGAGTTTCTATTTTATATCAAGCAATATATAAATAACATACTTTGCAGTCGAACGTATTGAAAGAAAAAAACCTTCGAACTAATTTTTTTTCTTTTTGTAAAATAAAATGATTTAATTCGATTCCAACTTGTATGTTGGCCGTATTTAAAATAACAAATATATTATATATTTAGCTATTAATATAATCGGGCGAGCCTTATTCAAGTGAATACATAATAGACTCAAATTCGTGTCATAGATGAATCAAGTTTAATAAAATGACTCAAACTCAATTCGGTCCATTAAAAATTGAGTTTGACTCAAATATAATCATGCATAACAATCGGGCTTCGGTTAGGTCCAGCTCAATTGAAAGTCGACAATTGACAATCAATATCAAGCGGAAAAGAAAAAAAGAATACAACAGCTCCAAAACAAGGAGCGTTATGTTGCACTACTTTTTTAATAAACTTAATTGTCCAAATTAAGTTATTAATATTTAATTGTCATGTGTCACATACATATCACTCGATCCTTTGCTAAAATAAACTGATAGACAATATACTGATAATCAATATATGCCAATTATAATGTTAATATTAATAGTATTTCCATATTCCAATTAAGCACAATTCAAAAGTTTCCAAAATTTCAGTTCCTAATAAATCGGAACCTCTTCAAAAAAATTCAAGAAAATGAAAATGTATTATGAACAGTTAATTCCTCCATATTTTCTTTCTAAAATCTCTGAAAAAAAAATATCCACCACCAATACTTTTTGTTCCCCATCGTCTTCAACCCCTCATCCACCCATCGCCACCGCCAACCACCACCACCACCACCATCTGGTTAATATTTTCCTTTCCTTCCAACAAAATAAATTAATAAATAAACGCCATTAATTCTCTCTTTCTCACATAAAGCACACATTGTTCTCGATCCTCCCATTGCTCATATAAATCCGGTAATGGGAGACCCAAACGCGCCGCCGCCACCTCCGCCGCCGCCGGCACAGGGTCTAACGCTCGTCCAGCCTTCAACCAAGAAGAAACACAAGCCGGTCAAAGTATTCCGCGTATTCCGGAACGTCCTCCGATCATTCCCAATCATAACAACCCCAGCGTGCAAGCTCCCCTCCCTCCCCGGCGGCCGCCTCCCCGACGGAAAATCCTCCGGCGGAGGATCGCGCGTGACGGGAACGCTCTTCGGGTACAGAAAGGGGCGTGTGAGCTTCTCGATCCAGGAGAATCCGAGGACGCTGCCGATGCTGGTGGTGGAAATGGCGATTCAGACGCACGCGCTGCAGAAGGAGCTGGGGTTGGGGATGCTGAGGATCGCCATGGAGTGCGAGAAGCGGCCGGACAAGGACAAGACGAAGCTGCTCGACGAGCCGGTCTGGACGATGTTCAGCAACGGGAAGAAGAACGGCTACGGCGCCAGGAGGGAGGCGACGGAGGAGGATCTGCACGTGATGGAGGTGCTCAAGGCGGTGTCGATGGGGGCCGGGGTTCTTCCGCCGTGGACGGAGGAGGCCGCGGCGGCGGAGGGTGGCGATGGAGAGATGGCGTACATGAGGGGCCACTTCGAGCGTGTGGTTGGGTCCAAGGATTCGGAGACGTTGTACATGTTGAGCCCCGATGGGAGCAGTGGGCCCGACTTGAGTATTTTCTTTGTAAGAATTTAATCTTTAAATTAATAAAATAAAATTTAAAAAAAGAAAAAGAAAAACACAAACCATGTACATTTTCTGTATATTTATTTAATATTTTTTTAGATTTTTAAATAATACAATTTTTTCAAACAAAAGTCTCTTCGTTTCTTCAACTAGTTGTTCGTATTTAAAAAATGAACATAATTATACGAGAGTGTAGGTTTACCCAGTGCACCTATACAGTTAGTTGCGGGTTCCTTCATTACCAAAAAAATGAACGTATGTATTTGATTTTAAACAAAGGTTAACTATATAATAAATCAGGTTTAGGATTGTTCAAAATGAAAACCCAGCATAAATTTCGAATATGCACCCGACATTATACGCAACGCACCTATCGAGCGCCGCATGCTGAACTCGGCTCTTGGTGATATGTTTTCCTTGCTCGAACGCTTTGGAGAGAGAAAAGACTTTCTAAATGCGTTGTCTTTGTAGATAAATAAATTTTATCCAAAAGAAAGGGACCATTGTGCAATTACGAAACAAGGAATTCTATTTGAATTCTATAGCCCATGGCAATTCCGTAATTAAATATTTAAATTCAAATCAAATCAATATTATATGCCGTATATTGGTATCTATATTTAAAATCAATTACATATTTTCTATTTTAAATCTAGGGATTTAATTAAATTAATTCCTAAATTAAATAGATAATTGATTTTAAATATATATTTACCAGTAGAATTATTTATTCTCTTCCAAATTATAAGGGATAAATATCAATTAATTATTGACCAATAGAATTGTTTCTTCTCTTCCAAGTTATAAGAGATAAGTATCAATTTAAATCGGGCCAATCAAATCGCGCCACATCATCAGTAAGGCCCATCAAGGACTCTTATTCTACCACTATAAATAGGGATCCTCCCTTCACAATTCAAACACAACTGAAGGAGCAGAAATCGTAGGAGCAAAATTCTCTCTACAATTCAAGAAGCAAGGAAGAAGAATTCGTAGGAGGTAAGATTCTCTCTCTACATTCAAAGTGTTCTTCGTCATATTCGAGGTGTTCTTGAGCAAATTCAAGGTGTTCTTCGTCAAATCTAGCGTTCGATCCGAGATAACGGTGCCAAACCTTCGGATTAACGTTAATCAATTCAAGTCAAGATCACTGGAAGATTGAAGGGCCAAATCCATCAAGAATTTCAAGATCTTCAAGTCAACGCCCGTCAAAGTTCAACAAATCAAGATCGAAGGAAGATTGAGGGGCCAAATCCATCAAGAACTTCAAAATCTTCAAGTCAAATCAAGTCAAAGTTCAACGTTCGATCCGAGATTCAAGTCGCAAGACCCTTGGAAAACGTTATTCAAATCCAAAATCAAATCCGGAGAAGATCAAGTCAACGACCCGACTCCGAAAATTAAAGTCAACTATATATTTTTCTAGAGAGAATAATCAGAGGATTAAAATAGAGATTGTAACCCGCAATTTATTTATTTTAATTCAATAAAATCATCTTTGTTCAATTTTTCTTGTTTGTTTATATCGCAGATAAGAATTTGTTGTTACAGTCTTCTTTGGTGAACCGGATCTCTCTGTAAATGGGCTTTGCTCCAGAGCCCTATATTGTCCGAGTCAACTCAGTTGTGAAGAGACCCATCCAATCAAGAGTTTTATCACCACTCACGTGAGATGCATGTGCATTAAACTTGCGATTTTTTTATTTATATATCCTTGATCTTTTACCACTAGCGGTTATTAAGAGTCAAATGCAAAAACACCCCCTGTGATTTTCCTAAACACCAAAAAACCCCCTAGGTAAAATTAAGTGACTAAAACCCCCCTGTGATCAGTAGTCAAAGTCATAAACCCCCCTCTATCTCATTCGTGCGATTTTTTGTGTGAAAAGACGCAAGTGCCCCTCTAAATCTCTCTTTAGTTTTTCTTGTACCATTTTAAACAAAAACAAAAGAAAAAAATCACTAAATATAAATGAATTAATTAAAAAAGAACAAAACACAAAAAAAAAACAAAAAAAACAAAAAAAAAAATTGGAATTTCTTCCTCCCGTCAAACTGACGACCAACCCCAAATTCATCTTCTTCGCCCATTTTGTTGTCCGACATCGCCATCTTCTCCGACGTTGCCCAGCGACCGCCGCCGCCGCTCCTGCTGCTGCCGCCGCCGCCGCGAGTTCAGATCTTCTCTAAAGTCGTCGCCAATCGAGGTCCGGCGAGCTACACTTCGCCGAATTCTCCGACGAATAGCAAAGCCCATCGCAAAATCCTCTCAAACACAGCTGCCGTTGCAGCCGCCGTTGAGCTATGAGCTGAGAAATTGAAATTGAAGTGTGCGTTGTTTTTTTTTTTTTTCAATTGGAGAAGAGGGCTAAATTGAAAGTGCTAGGGACTGAATTGAAAATTTTGAAAATTTCATTTGAGTCATAAAATTCTAGAGGTTGGATATATTTATCTGAAGGGCATTTTTGTCTTTTCGCGAGCGGTCAACAGACAAAAACAAAAAAGGGTCGAGTGTGCCTCATTGAGCATTTGTTAGGGGGGTTTTGGTGACTTATTTTTTCCCAGGGGGTTTTTTGGCCTTTAGGAATTACACAGGGGGTGTTTTTGCATTTAACTCCGGTTATTAACGAATTAAATTACATCTATCATTTATTCACCGGCATTTAAATTTATAGTTACAAGAAAATAAGGGCAATATATTTTAATATAATTCGGAAATATCCAAAATAACCAAATTGCCATCGCCATCTACACTATCCCCGAAGTCACCTACACACTAAACTATACATACATACATGGGTTTTTTGCAAAAACCACCCATGTGTAATCTCGAATTGCTGAAAACGACCTCGTGTTAAAATAATTAGCAAATACCCCCCTATAAAAATTAGTCAAAGGCAATAAGGCCCTTAAGAGCTCACCGTGCACTTCACTCGCCATGGATGAGAGTGGGGGTTCGTTTTTTGACACAAAATACTAAAATGCAACCATTTTAATTTTATAAGTACCAAAATGAAGTTTTTAAAATTTTCAATTGAGTCCTTTATATTTTCAATTAAGCCATCTTCTTCAACCTCAACAGTAAACCTCCAATTTTTTCACCATGATTTTTTTCCAGCAAAAACCATCGACCAAATCCATATTTGAACATGAAGTTCATTTCTATTCGAAATCCAAGAAAACAAACAGGAAGAAAAACGGCGCCTCCAAATTTTTCGGCACATCCCTGCCCAAACAAAAAAATATACAAAAACCCTTCAAAGAACTTTCTTCCAATTTCCATAGCATTTTCTTTCAATTTGTGAAAATTATAATTCGTACCTTCAGGAAGAAGAAGAAGAAGAATGTCAAACTCGAAGAATCATTTGCCGACTCTCCGATTCCACCACGCCGCAGCCACTGCCTTTCAATGCCACCACCGCTATTTTTTTAGTATTCAGAAGCAACTGCAGAAAGATTAATTAAATCGTATACACACTTTTTTCTTCGGATTAGAAAAAAAATAAAAAATACAATCCCCACCCACCATTGTCAGCAACCATGCTTTTCCTTTTCCTAGCAATGAAGATGAGAGAAGGTGTTTTGCTCCGTTTTGTGTGATAATATTTTTTTCATTTCTTTTTTTTTAAAAATGAAAATTACTAAAAAAAACATATTAGGGGTAGTTTAGTCATTTCATATAAGTCAACCATCAATTTTGAAGTAAGGGGCAGTGTGTTTCGTAAAACACAACATAGGGGGGTCCTTGCTAATATTTTTAACACGAGGACTTTTTCGGCAATTCGAAATTTCACAGGGGGTTATGTGCAATTAGCTCTACATACATAATACATACACACACATTCATATCCGTATGTAAGTGCAGTGCAGCGCAATCGCCGGCGGATCTCACAACCACCGAAATGTCAATTTGCAGCCTACTCTCGCCGTTCCCCGCCTCGCTCTATTCCCCTCCGAATCCCGTCCGGTCCAATTCCGCCGCGCCCAATCGTGTCAGGGTACATTTCAAAAATGGCGGGAGCTTATTGGCCGGAGAGGATTTGCCGTTGGACTACGAGAGCTGGCACCCAAAACGCGACCTCAGGAGCCGCCGGAGGGCTGGAATCCTCCTCCATCCGACGTCGTTTCCTGGACCTTATGGCGTCGGCGATCTCGGCCCTCAAGCCTTCCACTTCGTCGACTGGCTTCACGACGCCGGCTGTTCACTTTGGCAGGTTCAATTTCAGTAATCGCATTAGTTAATTTCGCTTATTGATTTATGCTTCGAACTTTGTGAATTTGTTAATGGAAGATGTGTTTGCAGGTTCTTCCTCTTGTTCCTCCTGGGAGGAGGTCTAATGAAGACGGCTCCCCTTACTCTGGACAGGTTTGCACAATAATTTCTGAATATATTATGAAATTTTAATTAAATTTGTAATTAATAATTAATTAATTTGAGTTTTGGCGACACACGAATTTTAATGTGTTCTGTATGCAATTTCAGGATGCTAATTGTGGGAACACACTTTTGATTTCTCTTGAGGAACTTGTCAAGGATGGTTTACTGTCGAAGGATGAGCTTCCAAAACCAATGTGAGGAATGAAAATTATGTTTCGACTGTGTTACAGTGTGCTAAGGTCTTATTGAATTTTGCGCCGATAATTTCAATGTCGTAATACTTTCAGAGATACGGACCGTGTTAATTTTGATGCTATTGCTGATGTCAAAGATCCTTTGGTAGCTGAGGTAAAGTATTAGCCCTCATCCTTTCAGTTTCTGATAAGAAGAGATTCTTAGAATTACTGCAACACATTATTATCCATGTCAGTTCAAGTTGATTTGATGTATGAATTATTCTAAATAAACTTTTTCTTTCATGATTTCTGCTTCGGATCTTGGGAGTAATAATTTCTGATTTTTTATTTTATTTTATTTCATAGCTGGATTTATAGTAGCTACCTGCAAAACATGCGGTATTCTTTTTGTGGCATATCCCATATTGTATCATGTTCTGCTGTTACGTAACGGATGTCAGTATCTTGGCTGATAAGTGAAGCTTAAGACCGATCTTATAAGTAATCTCCTCGTTTTCATGTTGGTCAGGCTGCAAAGAGACTTGTTTCAAGTTCGGGAGAGCTAAAGAATCAGCTTGAAGAATTCCGCAAGGATCCAAAGATTGCAGGTGAGATTACCATGTTTCCTTTCCTCCCTACTGAATGGTTTGATGATTACGACATTAATATTTTTGTATATCGCTAAATAAAATTGTTGGCGATTCAGGCATATAAAGTTTGTTTCTGAAATATGCTGTATTGGGTTAATGTCGGGGCTTAGACTGCAATGTCGTTGTCTGTCCTTTATAGCTCTTTTTCTCATTTTAGAAAGACAATCTTGTTTTCACTGTATTCATTTTCAGAAAATATATTTTATATCTATTTTTTGCAACCAATTTTGGAAAAATACCTCTTCTGATTCCATGACTATAATTACATAATATTAAAACTTAATTTCCTGTATTTATAGCTGCATAAATGTGCAGGTTGGCTTGAAGATGCAGCATATTTTGCTGCCATAGACGACACCCTGAATACAATAAGTTGGTATGATTGGCCCGAATCATTAAAAAATCGCCATCTTGTTGCTCTTGAAGAAATCTATCAAAGCAAAAAGGAATTTGTAAGATCTCTTTGACCCTATCACCCTATGTGGACCGTAATTCTTCAATAAACTCTGATGGTAGAAGAACTCGTGACTCGCAACTCACATCTGGACAGATAGATACCTTCATTGCCGAGCAATTTTTGTTCCAAAGGCAATGGCAGAAAGTTCATGATTATGCTCGGACAAAGGGAGTGAGTATAATGGGAGATATGCCTATATATGTTGGTTATCATAGTGCAGATGTGTGGGCTAATAAGAAACAATTTTTGCTGGTGAGTTCTCCCTTTCTTAATACCTAACGTTTTCGCTATGCTCCAAAGCTCCC